TTCATAAACCAAACAAAATATAGTCAATGACAGCCTAATTAAGAACAAATTCTTATAGAAACCACCTAACGGTATTGATGTGTACGGATGGCGGAATCTTCTTCCTACAATCCAAACACGTCACGTAGCAAACTTCACCGAGCTGTGCCAAGCACGGCGACGCAGTCTCCCCTCAGGGCCGCACTACCTACCCGGTCCTATCGGATTCGTCTGACCGTGGGCTTAACCGAGCTCTTGCTCGGTCGAACCTAATCTTCTGAGGATGCGTCCCATCACTTAGCGAAATACACATCTCTAAACCGGGCTAGCATCTTCATGACCTAATTGGGCTAATACTTTGGTCTAGCGCGCACCAAACATCCAACCATGCTCACATCCCAGGCAAGCATGTGGCCTCATTTTATCCGAGTGAGGACCTTGATCGAAGCCCAAACCGGCTCGGCCCATGATAGGTCATAAATCTCCCTCTCATGAATCTAACAAGTTCAAAGGATACAAGCTAGCTAATTTCATTCTATAGCGATTTATAAAATGATTATTTCTTTATGTAATTTTTTTTTTCAATATAATATCAATGAGAGCATTCTAAACGGTTCGATGTAGTCTATGAAAACAAAATAGTGAATTTTTTTTTTGGTTTTTTTTTTTAATTTAAAAAACTTGAAATAAACCAATTGGATCTACAAGGAACAATAACCAAATTTGTCTTATCTATGACACAGGTTTGGATTTAGATCAATTGATAAATGCCCAGAATTTATTCAGTGTGTTTGATTTCAGTTTTTTTAAAATTGAATTTTATATTTTTCGTATTTTTTTATTTTTAGTGAATATTTTTAAAATTTTAAGCATTTTTTTTATACTTTTTTAGATTCATCTTACTTAAATGTATTCAAAAAGTAAAATATTTGTTAAAAAATATTTCAAAAAATTAATAAATACACAAAAATATGAAAAATATACTGAATTGTCTCTTTTTTTTTGTATTTTTGGTATTTAGTGAATTTTTTAAAGATTTTTTTCACAAAAATTATACTTTTTAAGTGTATTTATGTTAGGTGTGTCTAAAATTTTTTTTAAAAAAATTGCATAAAATATTTAAAAATTTAGTAAAAATAAAAAAAAATATGGACTATAAGAAAGTAGAATTTTTTAAAAAGTTTTTTCAAAAAACTAGAAACAAACATGATGCTTTTTTTTAGATTGAGATAGGTACCATAAATAAATTTATTAATTAAAATTGTATGATTGTTAATATAGTAATGGAAAAATTATTGGAAACTCCCATTTGGAGAGTTGTAGTCTACCAAGTCCCATTTTAAAATTAATAGACGTTCAAGTCCTATTTTTTTGGTAATGTGATCCAAAGGATCCCATTATGTAATTATGGAATGGTTTTTCTGACTAATGTATCCTTTTTTTGTGGTTGAAACGTGTGGGTCATAAATAACGTGGACACCCCTACATACACTACTAAACCCAAAAAAAGCTATAGTATGCTTTTCCCAAACGTTACATACACCCACATCATAAAAAAACAAACGTTACATACACCAACATCATAAAAAAATTATTATAAGTTTTTCCCAAACGTTACATACACTCACATCATAAATGTGCTTTTCCCAAACGTTACATACACCCACATCATAAAAAAACAAACGTTACATACACCCACATCATAAAAAAACAAACGTTACATACACCCACATCATAAAAAAACAAACGTTACATACACCCACATCATAAAAAAACAAACGTTACATACACCCACATCATAAAAAAACAAACGTTACATACACCCACATCATAAAAAAACAAACGTTACATACACCCACATCATAAAAAAACAAACGTTACATACACCCACATCATAAAAAAACAAACGTTACATACACCCACATCATAAAAAAACAAACGTTACATACACCCACATCATAAAAAAACAAACGTTACATACACCCACATCATAAAAAAACAAACGTTACATACACCCACATCATAAAAAAACAAACGTTACATACACCCACATCATAAAAAAACAAACGTTACATACACCCACATCATAAAAAAACAAACGTTACATACACCCACATCATAAAAAAACAAACGTTACATACACCCACATCATAAAAAAACAAACGTTACATACACCCACATCATAAAAAAACAAACGTTACATACACCCACATCATAAAAAAACAAACGTTACATACACCCACATCATAAAAAAACAAACGTTACATACACCCACATCATAAAAAAACAAACGTTACATACACCCACATCATAAAAAAACAAACGTTACATACACCCACATCATAAAAAAACAAACGTTACATACACCCACATCATAAAAAAACAAACGTTACATACACCCACATCATAAAAAAACAAACGTTACATACACCCACATCATAAAAAAACAAACGTTACATACACCCACATCATAAAAAAACAAACGTTACATACACCCACATCATAAAAAAACAAACGTTACATACACCCACATCATAAAAAAACAAACGTTACATACACCCACATCATAAAAAAACAAACGTTACATACACCCACATCATAAAAAAACAAACGTTACATACACCCACATCATAAAAAAACAAACGTTACATACACCCACATCATAAAAAAACAAACGTTACATACACCCACATCATAAAAAAACAAACGTTACATACACCCACATCATAAAAAAACAAACGTTACATACACCCACATCATAAAAAAACAAACGTTACATACACCCACATCATAAAAAAACAAACGTTACATACACCCACATCATAAAAAAACAAACGTTACATACACCCACATCATAAAAAAACAAACGTTACATACACCCACATCATAAAAAAACAAACGTTACATACACCCACATCATAAAAAAACAAACGTTACATACACCCACATCATAAAAAAACAAACGTTACATACACCCACATCATAAAAAAACAAACGTTACATACACCCACATCATAAAAAAACAAACGTTACATACACCCACATCATAAAAAAACAAATAAAATATTTAAAAATTTAGTAAAAATAAAAAAAAATATGGACTTTTATAGAATTTTTTAAAAAGTTTTTTCAAAAAACTAGAAACAAACATGGTGCTTTTTTTTAGATTGAGATAGGTACCATAAATAAATTTATTAATTAAAATTGTATGATTGTTAATATAGTAATGGAAAAATTATTGGAAACTCTCATTTGGAGAGTTGTAGTCTACCAAGTCCCATTTTAAAATTAAAAGAAGTTCAAGTCCTATTTTTTTGGTAATGTGATCCAAAGGATCCCATTATGTAATTATGGAATGGTTTTTTTGACTAATGTACCCTTTTTTTGTGGTTGAAACGTGTGGGTCATAAATAACGTGGACATCCCTGCATACACTACTAAATCCAAAAAAGGCTATAGTATGCTTTTCCCAAACGTTACATACACCCACATCATAAAAAAACAAACGTTACATACACCCACATCATAAAAAAATTATTATAAGCTTTTCCCAAACGTTACATACACTCACATCATAAATGTGCTTTTCTCAAACGTTATATACACCCACATCATAAAAAAGCTATAGTAAGCTTTTCTCAAACGTTACATGCGCTCACATCATAAATGTGAAACGTTACATACACCCACATCATAAAAAAGCAAACGTTACATACACCCACATCATAAAGCAAACGTTACATACACCCACATTATAAAAAAGCTATAGTAAGCTTTTCCCAAACGTTACATACACCAACATTATAAAAAAACAAACGTTACATACACCCACATCATAAAAAAGCTATAGTAAGCTTTTCCCAAACATTACATACACCCACATCATAAATGTGTTTTTCCCAAACGTTACATACACCCACATCATAAAAAAGTTATAGTAAGCTTTTCCCAAACGTTACATACACCCGCATCATAAATGTGCTTTTCCAAAACGTTACATACACCCACATCATTCAAACATAATATCACCAAACCCAAAACAGTAAGTTCATGGGCAAAACTGTCCACCCCCAAATAATGGGACCTTTGGGTATACAAAATTAAATATGGGACTGATTAAATTACAATCCCACCTTTTAAGATTTATGGGTCAATTCCCCTATAGTAATAATATCTAAACAAAAAAATCATATAAAATTTGTATAGAATAATGTCATTTCATTGAAATTTATCATTTTCACTAAAAAAATGTTTAATTGTAAAATTGATACCACCACATCATTTTGACAAATTTTGTATAAATAATATTTTCCTTCTTGTTAATATGAAAAAAAAAAATAAAATAAAATAAAAAACTATTAAAGCATGGTATGAGGACCATATAAAAAGTGCGATGCTTTTTCATCTGAACAATTTTGGTTTTTTTTTTTTATTTTTTTATTTTTATATCGAACATCTGAACATGGATACAGGATTTTGTTATAAGGCCACTTTTTTGACTTTGGAGTCCTGAACAAAATATCTTAATTATACTAAGTTTTTTTTTTTTTTTTTTACTATCAATAAATATCAGTTTATTTTCTTTATTTATAAATTTATACATTTTAACTCCTCAATTATAAAAATATATTACTTTTATTTTTTCAAACCGTCTTTAAAAGAAATATATTTGTAAAATTTTCATAATTGATGGATTAATATATACATGTTCATAGATAAAACAGAATAAACTAATATTCGTTAAAAAGTTGAGAGGGTGTTAGGATAATTAACACACACAAAAAAAATTGCAATTGGACATGGATGCTATTCCCTGTGAAGGACCACTAATGAAATCTTCTAAGTGGAAGGAATTATTTTATTTTGATTTTTCTCATTGACAATCATTGCCAAAAAAAGTAATTTTTTTCCCTTTTTGTTTTTTTTTCTAAATTGCAAAAAAAAAAATTAAAAATTTTTTTTTTCTTTAGTCATGAGCCAAGAAAAAAAATTCTCCCTATATAAGTAGTACAAAGGAAAGATGCCACTCACCAACAACAATCTTTGCCATCAAAGTACATATCCTCTGCAGCATCTTAGATATAGCCCATTGTTTTCTTTTTCTTTCTTTGTGAAAAAGCCCATAATCAGAGAGTGAAAATGGAGGAACCAAAGAGAGGAGAATCAGTAGGTGTTGAGGATGAGAAATGGGTTAATGATTCTTCCTTGGATCATAAAGGAAGGGTTCCTCTCCGATCCAACACCGGTGTTTGGAAAGCTTCACTCTTCATTATCGGTAAATTTCACTCTTTTTTTCTAACATTTTCCATGCAACCAAACACTCAACTGATTAGCATCTTGATTATATTGTGTTGTTATGATTCATGAATTCCCAATTGAGCTCCTATATATGACTTAAAATAATGAAGTGAATTCTCATGCTGGATGTTCAGTTTGGCTGCCGGTGTAATTCTTGGCAAATTATTTCACTATTTTCTAACATTTTCCATGCAGCCAAACAGTTAATTGATTTGCATCTCCTCCTCCTCTTCCCTTTTTTTCTGCCTTACTTTTTAAATATCAAACCGTAGTTTTGGTATATACTGCGATTTTTTATTTTTTTATTTTAGAACTCAATCCCGAAATTTATATCCGCATATCTATATATTAATTTATATATATATATATATATATGTGTGTGTGTATTTATGTTATGCTTGTCTGCCATTTTGGTTGAGGGAACATTTCCATAACTAAATATATCTAGTGGGAATCACATTTAAGTTTTTTTTTTTCAAATATATCTAGTGAGAAAATTTCCATAACCAAATATGCTTGTTATCATATTTAAGTTTTTTTTTTCTATAAATAGTTTGAAAAAATTAAGTGGATTTTAAAATTATTTTTCAAACTATTTGAGAGCGTGGTTGATAAAAACACCAACTTAAGCATAAAATTACCAAATAATGACTTTAGGCTTCATTCACAAAGAAAGCCTGATATGTCGGTGCTGTTTGGTATAGTTCTTAAAACAGATTATAAATTATAGCTTAACAGATTATAGATTATGACTTTAATCAAAAGCTGTTAATCTGTTTGGTATAGCTGTTGGATTATAGATTTAAGTTGTTGTGTAGTGTTTGTTAAATAAGCTGTGAAGTAACTTTTTAATTATTTTTTATTTTTTATTATTCACTATTTGTCTACATTTTTCATAAAAAATAATAATAATAATTTATAATCTATTTGGGTCTTTTTTTATTTTTAAAAAAATAAAAAATAAAAAAATCTAAAAGTATAACCGTGAATTAATATGTCCACAGCAGAAGCTGATAATCAGAAGCAAGGGATGAGCAGCTTCTCAGAATCAGCTTTTTTGACTTAAAATAAGTTGTTAGAATCAGAAGTTGTTTGAAATAAGTTTAACCAAACAGTCTAAAATAACTTTTTAAAAGTCAGAAGCCATAAACTGGCTCAAAAAAGCCCCACCAAACACCCCCGTCATATGTTGGTAGTATTAATCCAAACTAAAATTCTAAACCCTTAAGGTCATGTTTGATTCACAATACTAATAGTGAGGTATTAATAATCCTATCAAATTAGTGTGGTATTAACTATTCCACCCCTACCCCATTACTACTAATCCTACAAATTTGTTGGATTAATTATCCATTGGATTAATAATCCTAAACCAAAATGTCAAAACAAATATAGGATGATTGGGCCTACGGATTAATAATCTCAATCCCATACTTTAATCTTTCCAATCAAACATACCGTAAAAATATAAGCTATGCGAAAAAGGTTTTGTAAAAGTTCAAGCCCAAGAAAAAAAATTCAATCCAAATAAAATAGTCTTGCTCTACAAATTTTATAGAAAATCTTACAAGCTAATGTAGCACGCTTAAAGTTGTTGTCATAAACTTTGAATCGAAAAAAAAAAAAGTTGTTAGTCATAAACAATACTGATAATAGATGTTTTTTTAAAATAAAAGATAAACGAATGTGCAGTTAATTATGCGTATTTCGATTAATAGATGCTTTTAGAAAATAAAAATTCAAAAAATTTAATTAATAAAATTATATTTTAAAATTTGAGTTTAATAAGCATCTAATTTGAAACATGAGTTCAAAAACACTTACTTTTAAAAATGTTTCATATATATATATATATATATATAAACAAAAGTATAAAGGTTAATTGGCCCAACACTTGCAATATAAGCTCTTCATCCATACCCAATCTTATCCATTCTACACAATATTAAACTCAAGAGAGAATTACATTAACAATCTTATTAATTTGGGACTTGTGTTAGTTTGATTCTTAACTTTTTAATTATGATATTTGATCTTAAATTTTAAATTTTATTTCAAATAAAGATAATCAAAGATGTTTATCTTACAAATGGTCTATTTTAAGGACAACGTAGTGACACAATTTATTTTGTATTGGTAAACTTGTATATTATTTGAAATGTAATAGCCTTTTTTTTTATAATGAATAATGTTGGAATTTTCTTTGTTATAAAGTTATGTTCGATTTGACTTTCATAATCTAATTTCAAGAAATTGTTTTAAAAAATTAAAAATTAAATTGGTGAAAAAAATTAAAAATATATCAATTTTATATGATTTTATCTTTTGAAATGGTAGAAATAATTTTTTTAAATAATTTTTTTTTTATATTTATTTTCGTTAAATTAGTTTCTTTTCTTAAAAAAAGTCAAACATAGCGACGATTTTGATATAATTATTAAATCAAAAAATTCAAAACTAGAAATATTTCATATACTATTAAACATATCGATTTTAAAGACCTAATAACAATTCATTACATGATAATCATCTAAAAATATCCATTAACAACAAATACAACCATGATAACTATCTAAAAATATCAACAAAAACAATCACATATTACATGATTATCATCCAAACACATACTAAAAATTAATTTGATAAAATAACAAAATTATAAAAATATAAAAGATTTATCATTTGTATATAATTTTATCTTTTGTGGGTAGAAATAATTTTTAAAAAATCAAAATTAATTTTTTGGCATTTATTTTTATTAAACTAAATTATATTTTATTAAATTGACGACTTTATTCTTAAAATGGAGCAACAGTATTTTTAATTGTATTTATTTGGAACGAGAATCAAAATTTAGGATCAAATGTATCACAATTAAAAATTTTGAGACCAAAGTGACACAAATCTCAAATTACAAGAATTGTTAGTATAATTTGCCCTAACCTCAATTATCAATTTGCAATTTGCCACTAATTTAAGGTGCTATTACCGTTTGTTCAAGTATCACATGACTTGATAGTATATTTATGTTTTGGGATGATTCTTTAATGAACTTTTCATTCACAAAATAGATGGACAGCTTTACACATTCAAAGAAACAAAAACAGACAAAATGAATTATCCATTGATATTGTTGGTTATTTATGATCAAATGCTTTCTTATAATCCTAAACTACATGAAAGAATAGAGAAAACAGACGTAATTTTTTAGAACCCAAGTTTTGATAAAATCTTCAATCACTAATAAACTCAAAAAAATTATATTTGTGAATCATTTACGCTCGTAATCATATCAACTCATTCGTGCCCAATCTAGAATCCTTTGTTTTCTCTCAATGCTCAAATCATCATATTTTCTTTTGAACAAGCCATAGACAGACTACAGAGGGAGGACCTGGGCATGTGTAAAAACAGTTGATTCAATATTTGTGACAGACCCTACTTTGGTGCACTTATTAATGTTTAATGTATAGCCTCAAAAAATATTCACCATACTCATAGTGTGTACATGACATAATATCTCACTATGAAACTGTTTAGTGCATACGAGGTATATAATAAGTGCACCCACATGTTAGAAGTTGGGAAAATCTAGCAGAGATTTTCTATCCACATCAACATGTCTCCTTCTAAGATCACTCTCTATTATAAGATTAATATCTCGTTTGACAATTATATATTTTAATTAAAAAATTAAAAGTTATTATAAATTGTCATATCACTTTTTCTACTTTTCTACACATATTTTCGTAAAAAATTACTAAAATAGCTTATTCCCAAATGAAACCTAAGTAAAAGAAGAAATCATGACATGATATAGATTAGTGGACTTAAAAATAGAAGGATATAACAAACAAAAAAAAATGACTTCTAAAATTTACCAGTTGATGTCACGTACTTTTAAAAAACTCAACTTTACTGCTTAGCCGATCCGTTTTCCCATACCCATACCCATACACATACCCGTAAGTTGTGTTCAAATCATGGGTTTGGATACATATTTTAGAAGAAGAAATGAATGGGTGAGGGAAACAAAGAAAAAACTTAGGTTATGTCATCACTTCACTTCCTATTTACCTAACAAAGGTATATCAGCATGTTTCTATGTGATTAGTTGGAGCACTATATAAACAATATCACATAATACTTCGGAACTCCTAAATAATTATTGATCCTAAATAATAATGAATAAATAAAAAGAAGAAAATGGTGGCTAGGGAGAATGGACAATCCAAATTAAGGTCTAGCCATCTTAGAGAATAGTTTTACATAAATTGTGATTGAAATCACACAATTGCTTCTTGTCCCAAGAGTGTGTTGACTTCCCAATTACAATTGGCGATGTATATACCACTATTTCCAATAAATTAGGATAAATTTTTCATTTTTTCGAAGCTTGAGTCTCTATTAAACTTTCTTTGTCTGTGACATATATATGGCTTGGGCAGCAATCGAGTTCAGTGAAAGGTTGAGTTACTTTGGAATAGCAACAAGTTTGATCATATACCTCACCAAGGTGATCCATCAGGACCTCAAAACAGCTGCAAAGAGTTGCAATTACTGGTCTGGTGTTACCACTATGATGCCTCTATTGGGAGGCTTCTTAGCCGATGCTTATCTGGGCCGATTCACTACCATCCTTGCTTCCTCAGTTGTCTATCTTCTGGTAAAAATTCTCAAATTCCAACAATTCTTTCTATGAAAGAACTACTGCTACAATTTGTGCTAAATTATTAACATTGGTTTATTTTAACAGTACTAATTTCAATTTACTAAAATGTGGAAAACAGGGTTTGATTCTCTTGGCCATGTCTACAATTGTTCCAAGCCTAAAGCCATGTGGTACTGGCATTTGTCATGAACCAAGAAAAATCCATGAAGTGGTCTTCTTCCTCTCCATCTACTTGATCTCCATAGGCACAGGAGGTCACAAACCAGCTCTAGAGAGCTTTGGAGCTGATCAATTCGACGATGATCACCCTGAAGAAAGAAAAAAGAAGATGTCATTCTTCAACTGGTGGAACTTTGGCCTTTGCTCTGGACTTTTAATTGGTGTCACAGTGGTTGTTTATGTCCAAGACCATGTGAGTTGGGCTGTTGCTGATATCATCTTGACTGCTGTGATGGTTGCTAGTATTGTCATCTTTATTGTGGGAAGGCCGGTTTATCGATACAGGAAGCCAACAGGGAGTCCATTGACACCAATGTTGCAGGTTCTTGTTGCAGCCATTAAGAAGAGAAATCTTCCTTATCCTTCAAGTCCTCCAACTGAATTGTATGAAGTTCCTAAGTCACAGAAGACTCAGGGTAGGCTTCTGTGCCATACCAGCAAGCTCAAGTAAGCTATATCATTCTTTCATTATGATTTAGTTACATATATTCATGTTTTATATCAATCACTTTGGAGTCATACCTTGAGCGTGTTTGTTGCAGTTTATTTTAAACTGAAAATATGACAAGAAGAAGCTGAAAGCACTCGTCTTTTCTATTCTAGATACTGTTTGACTTATTTAATTGGTCTTGCAACTTATAAGTTGAAATATTTTTTAAGTCCATTGTTGGTTTTTTTTCAATTTTTTTTTAAAACAATTAGGATCATATAGTACCTAAAAGTAATTTTTTCGATTTGCTTAGATCAGACGATCCTAAAAAAAATTTGAATGTTAACTAAAAGACAAAAATAAGTCAACATTTATATACATTTGACAGAATTTCATTTATTTTGGTCTTTTGTGAACATTTTTCAAAATTATCTGAAAATTTTCAAAGTTATCTGGTCTAAAAAGACAATTTAAAAGTTTAAAAAAAAAAAAAATTGACTTAATTTTTTAATGAAGTATACTAAATACAAAATAAACGGAAAAAAAAAAAGTTTCAATTTAAAAGCTAGTGTCAAAGGAATCGAAGTTGAAACAGACAGTTTTGACTTAGATTCTCAAATAAACAACTTCTTTTCGTATTATAAAGATAGATGTTCGAAAAACTGACAATATGATTATCCATAATGTGTGTCAGATTTCTTGACAAGGCCGCAATCCTGGAAAACAAACAGAGTCCAGCAGATCAGCATCAACAAAATCCATGGAGACTCACAACAGTTACCCGAGTGGAAGAAATGAAACTACTCCTCAACATGATTCCCATCTGGCTAGCCGCCTTACCATTCGGTATCTGCGTAGCACAAGCCTCAACTTTCTTCATCAAACAAGGCACAACCCTAAACCGCAATATCAGCAACGATTTCCTAACCCCCCCAGCCTCAATCTATGCCATTGCCGCCATTGGAATGATCGTCTCTGTTACCTTTTACGACAAAATCCTCATCCCTGTGCTCAGAAAGGTGACCGGTAATGAAAGAGGCATCAAAATCCTCCAGAGAATCGGCATTGGAATGGTCTTTTCAGTTTTGACAATGGTTGTCGCGGCTTTAGTCGAAAGAAAGAGGCTGAGCCTAGTGGAGAAGGATCCAGAGAAGGGTTCGATGTCAATGAGTGTGTTCTGGTTAGCTCCTCAGTTTCTCATCATTGGGTTCGGAGATGGGTTCACTCTGGTTGGCTTGCAAGAGTATTTTTACGACCAAGTCCCTGACTCGATGAGAAGTTTAGGGATTGCGTTTTACCTTAGTGTGATCGGTGCAGGGAGCTTTCTTAGCAGTATGTTGATTACCGCAGTGGATCATATTACGCAGAAGAGTGGGAAGAGTTGGTTCGGGAAGGATTTGAATAGTAGTCGTTTGGATAAGTTTTACTGGCTTTTAGCCGCCGTTGCTGCTGCGAATTTGTGTGTTTACGTGCCGTTGGCGAGGCAGTATTCATATAAAAATGTGCAGAGAAAGGCCGCTGTTGTTGTGGCTGATTGCTATGAAGGTGATAATGTAGGGACAACAATGGCTTAATGTATACTATGTTACTATGTAGTACTATAGGTTAAGGAGGGTGTGTCATTTGGTTTAGTTTAGTAATCCCGAAATATAGACGCGTGATATTTTATAACATTATGATTGGTGAAAAAAGTGGGTAATGAAGTATTGTGTTAAATGATTGAGAAATATAAGAGGTATATTGAATGCTAATTGGTTAAGGAATACAGACGTGATACTTCGGGAACATTATAATTTCGTGATACTTCGGGAACATTATAATTTCCCGTTGGTTTATTTCAATGTTGTGTCATTGGATAATCAAATCAATAAAAAAAAGAGAAATTGAAGTGTTGTTGTAGAATAAATATTACACATACATTTTTTTCGATTCATAATATTACATATACATGATAAGTGAATCGCATATATCTGAATCACAAATTAAAATCCTCTATAATAAAATGATATTACAATGCGAATATCACCCTCACAAATCATAATATAAAGATTTTTGTTTTTGATACTCCAATGACACAAACGGAGAGTGAGAGTCTATTATAGTTCAAATATGCACATTATGGCGTGTTTGATTGGGGGGATTGGAGTGGGGGACTATCCACTATTTGGATTACAATCCAAATAGTATTCCTTATCCGCCGTTTGATTTTTTTTTAATCCGTCGGACATGGAGTCCGGCCGGACTCCATGTCCCCCATATGGGGGACTATTGTGTCCTAGGGGGGTGGGATAGAATGTGAGGGACTATTCACTATTGGGATTAGATGCGAAAATGACCATTTTGACCCTCTACTATTTAATTATGTATTATATTTAATAAAATTCAATAAAATTTAAATGTCTCAATTTAAAAATAAAATAATTTTATTTAACTTTTTATTGATGTTTTATTTATTTAAATTTTTAAAATAATTTTTTAGAGATATTTTATTGATGTTTTATTTTAAAATTTTGTTTATAATTTATTTAATTTCATTATTTAAATTTTAATATGTGTTTTATTTAAAATTTATTTAAAATATTAAAGATATGTTTAATATTGTTATTACTTAGTAAACAATTGAAAAATGGTAAAATAGTCTTTTGTTCATTTATCCTATCCAGTCCGTCTAACCAAACGTTGGATTCACTGAAAATAGTCCTATCCAGACATCTAATCCCATGAAAGCTAATCCCATGAAAAAACAAACACAGGATACATATTTAATCCGACCAAATAGTATGGGGGATTCACAGTCCCAACACTCAAATCCGATGAATTCTAATCCCCCCTTTTCCAATCCGTCCAATCAAACATACACTATATGTATGTCATATATCTGATATATAACTCCTCTATCCTTGTCATTAGAAAAGGTCAAAATTTCAAATTACGAGACACCCAAATCCGAATTCAAAACTTGATTGGTTTTCACAGTTGTCCAGTTGTGTCCTAATGTGGTAAATAAACGAGCAGAAAAATAATCATGTTTATGAAAGCTTTAAAAAAAAAATAATTCAGTGGATAATTTTATTAAGAGATGAAAAGCAGAGGATGAGTTTGTGAAGAATGGCAGGAAAATAGGAAATCATTTGGAAACAATCAGTATGTAGCTTACTGGACCACTTGAAAAAAAAAATAATAACCATAGTTTGGTTTTAATTTTTAAAAAATTTTATTTTATTTTTTGTATTTTCTTAGTGAATATTTTTAAAATTTTAAATATTTTTTTGAAATATTTACAATAAGTTTAATCTTACAAACAAGTACTTCAACTAATTTTAAATTTTTTTATTGATGTGTTAAGTCCTATTAGTGATGGGTTTATTTCGGTGTAGTCCTATTTTCGATTTTCATAGTATTTTGGTAGACAACTATTTGGTTAGATTGTATATGTATCATGTGTTTATTTTTTCATGGGATTAGATGTCTGGAAATGACTATTTTTAGTAAATCTCACGTTTGGTTGGACGGACTGGATAGGATAAATGATCAAATGACTATTTTACCCTTTTTCAATTATTTACTAAGTAATAGCAATATTAAACATATCTTTAATATTTTAATTATAAAAAATTATTTTAAAAAATTAAATAAATAAAACATCAATAAAAAGTTAAATAAAATTATTTTATTTTTAAATTGAGACATTTAAATTTTATTGAGTTTTATTAAATATAATACATAATTAAATAGTAGAGGGTCAAAATAGTCATTTTACCACCTAATCCCAACAGTGGATAGTCTCTCAAAAATTGTTCCATACCCCCCCTAGGACACAATAGTCCCCTATATGGGGGATAAGGAGTCCGGCCGAACTCCATATCCGGCAGACTAATAAAAAAAACAAACGGCGGATTGGATATTTCTCCCGAATTACAATGCGCACAGTAAATAGACCCCCCTCTTATCCCTCCAATCAAACACACCCTTTTATTAATATGACATGTATGATGTGGCACTTCAATATGACAGATATTAATATGACACTCCAACATAATGGGTATGATGTGACACTCTAAAAAAACTAAAAATTTCTTAATGTATTTTTTTTCAAATGTGACAATATAGTGGGTATGATATAACATTCCAAAAAAACTAAAAACTCATTACTGTACTTTTGCCAAACGTGACATGTGACACTCTAATGTAGTGGGTATGATATGACACTGCAAAAATTAAAAATTCTTTAGTGTACTTTTTCTAAATGTAACACTCTAATGTAGCGGATATGATGTGACACTAAAATACTCTTTAATATACTTTTTTCAAATGTGACACTCTAATGTGGTGGGTAAATAAGTCATTGCACATCAAAAAGGACTAAATGGATCATAAGAAAAAATATGGTACTATATGGATTACAAGTCCAAAATATGGGACTTATTGGTTAATTTTTCAAATTTTTTTACTTTTTTAGATTCACATTACTTAGATATATCTAAAAAATAAAATATTTGTGAAAAAAATATTTTAAAAAATTAATAAATATACAAAAATATGAAAAATGTATTAAATTTTCATTTTTTTTAAAAAAAAAATTGTTATTTATTGAAATTTTTTTAAAAAAACAAATCACAAATATTATATTTTTTAAATATATTTATGTTAATTACATATAAAAATTTTAAAAAAATACTTAAAATATTTTAAAAATTCATTGAAAGTAAAACAATATAAAAATTTTGTTGAATTTTTTAAAAAATAAATCACAAATATTATATTTTTTAAGTATATTTATGTTAATTGCATATAAAAATACTTAAAAAATTTAAAAAATTAGTGAAAATAAAAAAATATAAAAAATAAAATGAAATGAAATTTTTTTGAAAAGTGAATATTGGAAATCAAAATCAAGGGGAATTGACCAGTAAATCTCGTTTTGTAAGCTTGTAATCCATAAGGTCATAAATGTTTTTTTGGTGACTAAGTGGTCCCCTAAATTATTTGTTGACTGTTTTGCCATTGTTAATACAGTTGCGGGACATGTGCCGTGATTATGAATGGAAAAGGTGGTGGGGGTGTTTGTGTGTCACGTTGTTCGAAAAGCGCACTAGTAACTTTTTAAAATTTTGTTGTTTTTAATACACCAGTGTGAGATGTAAATTCTTTACTAATTATTTTTTGGCACGTGATGTGAAGGCACGCAATAATTTAATCAAATTGGGTCCGCTACTTTGGAGTGTCACATCCAACGTTTAGAAAAAGTACACTAAGGAGTTTTTAATTTTTTTAAAGTGTCACAACATACCCGCCATGTTGTCACATTTGAAAAAAATATATGAAGGAGTTTTTATTTTTTTTTTGGAGTGTCTCACGTTGTCACATTTGAAAAAAAAGTATATGTTAACGAGTTTTTTTTTTTTTTTTTGGGGTCATAGATCTAGCCCTCTATGTTTACATAACCCCACAAGGGCAAAATAAATTTTTTTTGGAGCATTTACATATAAGTCATAATTTATGAACTTATACTCCATGTTGTTCGAAAAGTGCACTAGTAATTTTTTAAAATTTTGTTGTTTTTAATACACGTAGTGTGAGATGTAAATTCTTTACTAATTATTTTTTGGCGCGTGATGTGAAGACACGTAATAATTTAATCAAATTGGGTCTGCTACTTTGGAGTGTCACATCCCACGTTTAGGAAAAGTACACTAAGGAGTTTTTAATTTTTTTAGAGTGTCACAACATACCCGCCATGTTGTCACATTTGAAAAAAAATATATGAAGGAGTTTTTATTTTTTTTTTTTTGGAGTGTCTCACGTTGTCACATTTGAAAAAAAGTATATGTTAAGGAGTTTTTTTTTTTTTTGAGTGTCACATCAAACCTATCACATTGTCACATTTGGAAAAAGTACATTAAGGATGGGTAAAAAATTTTTAGTGTCGCATTATACCTATCACGTTGTCACATTTGAAAAAGTACATTAAGAAATTTTTAATTTTTTTGGAGTGTCACATTAATACTTGTTACATTGGAGTATCACACCATACCTGTCACACATTCTTAAAAAAAAAAAAATAGACTTCTCCAATTAACTAGTGAAGGTGCATCTATCTAACCAATGCACATCCATATTTGAAAAATGACTTATTAATCACACACTACATCTAATAAGGACTCATCAATCAACCATTTAAAATGTGGGATTAAATAATACAAAAATTCTCAGAATTTCCAATAAATTCGTCTAAAATGAAACAGTGTGAATTGTGTTGTTTTTCTAATTAAAATTATTACATACTTCTACATCAATGTCGTCCCACTATTATGTAGGCCATTCGATATGATCGTGTGACTCGTAGTTGTTATCAGGGTCCCAGTATCCACACCACAACAACGACAAACAAACATGTCCTCTGTATACAGGACTTTGATTGGAGCATGCGCAGAATTTTAGCACATAAAATGCATATACACTACAAAAAAAAATTGACTTTTTGCGACGACAATACTCAAAATGCCGTCTCAAAAGATTTTTTGCGACAGCAGATGACTTTTAGCGACAGTAAAGAGGGGGTCGCAACAAAGGGGGTTGCAAAAAGGTTTTAGCGACGGCATGTTGCCGTCGCCTTTTTTTTGCGACGGCAAGTTACCTTTTTTGCGACGGAATTTTTCCGTCGCCATTAATATGAAAAAATCCGAGATTTTTTGAGATGGCACTATTTTGCCGTCACTAAAGGTGTTATTTGCGACGGCAAAAAAGCCGTCTCTAAAGATTTTTTTGCAACAGGATACCTGCCGTCGCTAAAAAAATATTTGAGACAGCACGATGCCCATCGCGTCTTCTCCCAAACCGGGAACCCGATTGGAGTCCCGTCTTCTCCCACAAGTCTCTCATGCCTAGACGGTCGTGTGTGCCAAGTTTCGTGCTAAACCGACGCCATTTGGTGATTTTGAGGCGTCAACACCTCCAATTCAAGTTTCTTAAGGAACTAGTTTGCCTATAGTGAAATCCGGCTCTAACTCCCAAACTGGGAACCCGATTGGAGTCCCGTCTTCTCCCACGAGTCTCTTGTGCCTAAAAGGTCGTGTGTGCCAAGTTTCGTACTAAATCGATGTTGTTTGGTGATTTTGGGGCGTCAACACCTCCAATTCAAGTTTCTTAAGGAACTAGTTTGCCTAGAGTGAAATCCAGCTCTAACTCCCAAACCGGGAACCCGATTGGAGTCTCGTCTTCTCCCACAAGTCTTTCGTGCCTAGGCGGTCATGTGTGCCAAGTTTTGTGCTAAACCGACGCCGTTTGGTGATTTTGGGGCGTCAACACCTCCAATTCAAATTTCTTAATAAACTAGTGTGCCTATACCGAAATCCGGCTCTAACTCCCAAACCGAGAACCCGATTGGAGTCCCGTCTTCTCCCACAAGTCTTTCGTGCGTAGGCGGTCATGTGGGCCAAGTTTTGTGCTAAACCGACACTGCTTGAAGATTCTAGGGTGTCAACACCTCCAATTCAAATTTCTTAATAAACTAGTTTGCCTAGACCGAAATCCGGCTCTAACTCCCAAATTGAGAACCCGATTGGATTTTCATCTTCTCCCACAAGTCTCTTGTGCCTAGGCGGTCGTGTATGCCAAGTTTCGTGCTAATCCAACGCCATTTGGAGATTTTGGGGCATCAACACCTCCAATTCAAATTTCTTAATAAACTAGTTTGCCTAGATCGAAATCCGGCTCTAACTCCCAAACCGGGAACCCGATTGGATTCCCGTCTTCTCCCACAAGTCTCTTGGCTCACAATGAAGTCACAAGAAGTTAGTTATGAAGACAAGAAGATCAAAGATACAATAGAGCCCATGAACCTAAAGAGGGAAATTGAAAAGCAACCACTCACACACAAATTATGAGGCTTGGAGAAGTAACAGAGATTTTGCTTGAATTACCAGTCAACCACTCACACACACACAGAAGAAGTAATAGATGCATATATATACCCTCCGGAGAGTATTTGACTTAGGCAGAAATCTCTCAGTTCCTTTGATAGCAAGCTCCAGTCACGACGAACCATATCAAGACCTTTCCGTTCAATAACCTGCTCCAAGAATGCAATTCACCAGTATACACTGAGAATACATATTTTGAACAAGTTCAAAAAGTCCAAGAAAAATAAATAGTTTAAAAATCTACCTCATATGGTGTTCGATCCTTAAACTGCACTTTGACAGCTGCATATTTCTTTTTCTTGAGAACCAGCATTCTCTTGTACAAGCCATCTAGGTCAATTTCTAAACACCTATATTTTTTGTTGACCTAAAACCAAAGAGATAAGAGAGACTTCAAACATCCATTGCAACAAGAAATTCATCATAACGTTTTTGAAAGGGTATATCCAGTTTCACAGAAAACATGTCCTATAGAGAACAAGAGGTCCAAAATATTCTCTTTAGATTATCTAAACCCTCATTTCATTTTTTTTTTTTTTGTTTTGTTTTTTGTGTGTGTGTGTGTGTGTGTGAATTATAAACGTGTTCTTTTTCCTGGAAGTCAAAAAATGCAAGTACTAGGTTTTTTAAATCATATTTCTGGGTATGAGTTGAATTTTAAGTATGACCATATGCCAAGGGGATAATGAAGAAATTACAACCTTGGTGAGCAATGGATGCTATGTGCAGTGTTTAAATCACAAAATGGAAAAATCAAGTGATTCAATTTTAGTAAAGCACAAATGGAAAGATCAGGAAATTCAATTTTAGTTCAGTAAATTATTTGCTGACTACCTACCTACCTTGAATCTGTTTGTTCGATTAGAGGAAAAAAATAAAAATAAAAGAAAATAATGCAATGAATTTCAATTTACAACCAAATCTCACCTCTTGGATGACCTTCCCTGCAATCGCCTTACATTTTGCAACATCATCAAGTTCACTATAAATCATAATTGAATCTGTATCACCATAGATCACCTGCCGGGTAGAATACAATACATGATTTAGAAGCCAAAGTATTTTGATGACTGAAATCAAGAAAAGGAGACGCGAGTTGAAATAATACATTAAAAAAATATGAATCTCAACATTTAAGAAATAACCTCTAAGTTTAAATTATTCTGAACTAGATCAACAATACTTTGTAGGATCTCCCTTCCCTGCACAACAATGATGTAAGTTGCTTGAAACTAAAACAAGAAAACATCATTCAGCCAAAATCTGCGGACTTAAGCAAAGTTAATTATCAGCATCAAATTAAAAGTCCTACTTGTAGTGTTATCAGCTCTGCAAGCGGTTTTGCATAGAATCTGGAATTGGAAAAACCCAGGCAACCATACATACTGCAGGTGGGGAAAAAATTAAAAAAGAGTAATCACTGACACAACAAACAAGAGCTACAGTGAGTTACAATGAGAAGCAAAAGAAAATGCAAACCAAGTGAAATAGAAACCTGTTTGCAATGAGTTTCAGTGCTTGCTGTTGTATGTCAAGTTGCTGGACCTTAAGACCAGATGTTGTTGTATGTCAAGCTGCTGGACCTTTTCCTTACCACCATACTGCTCCTCTAACGCCCTCTTTATGTCTTCCTTTGTTACCCGTTCATCATCAAATTTGAACCTAAAGAGGGAAATCATGAAAACCACAACAATACTAGACCTTAACACATGAAATAATGTTAAATGAATGAAAACATAGAAGACACTACATTAACATAACATAACAAATATCATAAAATAAAAGGAAAAAAGTTTCTAATCAAATCAATTTAAAAATCCCCAATTTTTGAAATTGAAAAACCATAAACTCTAATATTGAAATTGAAAAGCACTAAATCAAAACTCAAAATCCTAATATCTGAACATGTACCTGAAATTAGGTGGTGGGAAGGAAAGATGCAAGAGCTCCAGTCAAAGGGAGAGGTGAGAGCTCTGTTTGCTTAGTTTGCTGGTCACAGCCGGAGAGAGAAGCTAAAGACTTCGAAGAACTTCGTTTGCTGGTAATGGCTATCGATAGAGAAGCGAAGGACTCCGACAATGGTCGTCGATATCTGGCTTCCTTCATTCACTGGCCCCCATGGCTCAACGCCGTCGTCGGCCATGCTCACAGTCGAGAGAGAGAGAGAGAGAGAGAGAGATTTGGTACAAATTAGGGATTTTGGTTCTAAGAGATTGGGGATTTGGGGGGGGCGGGGGAATGGAAAAAAGGGGGGAACGGGATGCGGAAAAAAATTAAAAAAAAATTAGTTTTCATCACAAATGAATATTTAAATAATAATATTTTTTTTTTTTGTGACAGAGGTTGCCGTTGGCAAACAAATATTTTTTTTGTTAAAATAATTTTTTTTATAGTTAATGATTTTGTTTTTTTTTTTTCATTTTCTTTTCGTTACTAAGGTTGAGAATTTATTTGTTTCATTTTTATTTTAATGAATAAAAAATTATTATTATTTTTTCTTATTTGGTAGAAGTAAGGATAATATTTTAATGAAAAATATTTCTATAAAAATAAAGTTATTTTTTTGTAGTCAATGAAAAATATTTTTTTGTGACCCATTTTTTTTTTGTTACTAAAAATCAGGAACTAATTTTTTTGTGGTAGAGAATAGGGAGCAGCAATAGTGGTGAAAGTGGTGGATAAGAGGTGATTGTGGTGGTAGTGGTGGTGGCAAAGGAGATTAATGGTGAAGTTGTGGTAGTGGTAGAGGAAATAGAGTAGTGGTGGTGGAGGAGAGGTAATGGTAGTCGTAGTGGTGGTAGCGGAGTGGTGGTGATAGTGGTAGTAATGATAGTCGTAAAGATGGAGTGGCAATAGTGGTAGTAGTGGTGGTAGTGGAATGGCATTTGCAGCAGTGGTGAAGGTGGTACAGGAGAAGAGTGATGAGTGTGAGACAGACAGACAGACAAACAAACAAAGAGAGAAAGAGATAGAGAGAAAAAGAGAGAGAGACAAAAAAAAAGAAAGAAACAAGAGATGAGCGATACAAAAAAAGAGAGAAAGAGAGTGACAAGAAATGAACGACAGAGAGAATAGAAAAATAGAGAGATAGAGTGAGAAGAGAGATGAGGGAGAGAGACAAAGAAAAAGAAAAAGAGAGATGAGGGAGAGAGATAGATAGAGAAAAGAGATGAGAAAGATAGAGAGAAGAGAGATGAGCGAGAGAGACAGAAAGAGAAGACAAATAAGAGAGATAGAGAGAAGAAAGATAAACGAAAGACACACAGACACACAAACCAACAGATAGACAAACAGATAGAGAAATAAGAGTGATGAGTGAAAGAGAGAAAGAGAAGAGTGGTTGTAGTTGAATGGCATTTGCAGTAGTGGTAAATGTGGTAGAGAAGATGGGTGGTGAGAGAGAGAGATGAGTGAGAGACGAATAGAGAGCGAGAAAGAGACAAAGTGGTCACTAAAAGTGTATTTTCTTGTAGTGGATCGATAAATCAAAAGGGAGCTCAATAAATAAAGAAGAGATGAGGGAGAGAGTGAGTAAGGCGAACATAGTGAGGGAGAGAGAGACAGACAGACAGACAAACAAACAGACAGGCAGACAGAGAGAGAGAAGAGTGATGAGTGAGAGAGAGAGAGAGAGAGACGGAGAGAGAAAGAGATTGAGAGAGACAAAGAGAGAAAGAGATAGAAAGAGAGACAGAAAAAGAGAGAGAAACAAGAGATGAGCAAGAGATAAACAAAAAGAGAGAGAAAGAAAGTAAAAAGAGATTAACGAGAGAGAGACATAGAAAAAAAAAGACAGAGAGAGAAGAGAGATGAACCGAAGAGAGAGAGAAAGAGAGAAACAAAAGATTAGCGAGAGATAGACAGAGAGAGAGAGAAAAAAAAAGAGCGAAATGAGATAAACGAGACAGAGAGAGACAGAGAGAGATGAGCGAAAGAGTGAGATAGATAAAGAGAAGAAAGACAGAGAGAGAAGAGAGATGCGCGAGAGACACAGAGAGAAAAAGAGACAGTCAGACAGAGAAGAGTGATGAGTGAGAGAGAGAAAGAGGAGAGAGACAGAGATAGAGACACAGAGAGAAAGAAAGAGACAGACAGACAAACAGAGAAGAGTGATGAGTGAGAGAGAAAAAGAGAAGAGAGACAGAGATAGAGACAAAGAGACAGGAAGATAAAAAAATGGGTGAAAAGTGAAATGTTATATCAAAATAGTAAGACGACGTCGTTTTTTTTTTTTTTTTTTTTTGTGATAAAAAATACTGTTGCATTTATTTAAACCATTTTGTGACTATATATATATGAAGCCGTCTCAAAGCCACAATATATATATATATATGTATATATATATTTTACTTTTTTTTTTTGCAAAGGTACTTAAAAAATTTTTTTTTTTTTTTTTTTTTGCGACTGTAGCTAGTGCCGTCGCAAAAATACTCTATTTTTTTTGTGACAGCAATTTATGCCGCCTCAAATACTCTATTTTTTGCGACGACAAGTTGTACCGTCTCAAAAAGTCACATTTTTTGTGACAACAAATGTGTCATCGCAAAAAGTTTTATCTTTTAAACCTACTTTTCTTGTAGTGATAAACTCTTATATTTAAGAGCTTTTGTACATTTTGTATACCAAAATTTTGTGCAGATAGTGTTTTATTTATTTAATTCTCCCCATCGCATTAGTGGAGAATCCTTATACATCTACTGATTATAAAATAAAATGATTAAATTACATGGATACCTTTTTAAAGTTTTTGTTTAATATAAATTACTGTTTATGTTTGAAAAATTATATTTATTTTATGTTGGATTAAAATGACATATTTATTTTTTAACATTTATACATATAAAATAATAAAATAATATTAATATTTTGTTCATATCATTTCAAGAGAAATAATAATCTTCTTTGATTTAACTCACACAAAAAAATTAAATTTCTTTTTTCATTTTTTTTATTGAAATTTTTAATATTTTAAGCATTTTTTTAATTTTTTAGATACACTTAATCTACATATACTTAACAAAATATAATTTTTTGTGTTTTTTTTTTAAATTTACCAAATACAAAAATATAAAAATTCAATAATGCTGTAATAAATGTGAATGACGGTGTTTAGTAATACTGTAGTAAATGTTAGCGTGTTTTTTTTAAATTTACCAAATACAAAAATATAAAAATTCAATAATGCTGTAATAAATGTGAATGACGGTGTTTAGTAATACTGTAGTAAATGTTGGTGAATAGACGAGAAAAAAAATGATGATGGAAATAAAAATGAAAAATTATATTCATATGTAAAAATTTTGGGTGTTTTGTTTTAAAGTAAAAAAGTCACCATTAGTCCCTCATTTAATTTTTCATTATTTCAAAATATTAGTCTATTTTCAAAAATCAATGACTAAAATAATATGAATTTATTATTTTATCATTTTTTTAAATTTATTAACAACATAAAAAGTACAATTATGACAATTGATATACCTAAAAAAATTTACTATTAAAGGGTTATTTTAAAAAATTAATATTTTTAAAGTGTAATAATTGTATTGCTAAAAAAGATTAAATTCTCTAAAATAGACTATTATTTTGAGACGAAATGAGTGATTGATATGTAAGTTTTTCAAATTAAAGAATAATTATTTAGTCCTAGGAGAAAATTACAAGTGGTAGAATTTGAGTTTGAGAATTCAAGATTTATGTTTAGATTATTTTTCAAAAATTTAAATGAGAGAATTTTTATTTTATTTTTAAAAATATGTGATAAAGTAAAAAATAAATCTTGATTGCATAATACATTTGTCTTTAAACTTATGAACATTTACGAAATATTTGGCTACCGATCACAAAAATCAAACACAAAAGAAGACCCATCCCATTCCTGATAAATGTGTTTAGTTTCTGCACATAGACTTTCTCTTAAATAATTCCTGTAAAACCGACAGTCGGTCACGGCCCTAGTGGACCCCGCATCTTTGATTTTACATTGACTCAGAACACACACTCTTATCTTACGTAACGTAACGTAACGAAACTTGTTTTTAATCATCAGCAGAATCAACGGCTCACAATAACTCACGCCCCACTTGTTATCCGTTACAATCTCCACTCGACCTTTCATTTCAGCCCATGGTTGGTTTTTTAAGTAAGCAAGCACTGACAGTGGTAAGAATACCCTGACTGAACACACACACACACACACACACACACATTTTCTCTCTCTAAAAAATGGCTATGTCCAATTCGATCTTCTCGTTCCTTCTATTCCTGTGTCCCTCTCTGTTGATCATGGCACGTGCAGACCTGCCCGGAACGTGGGAAGTGGTGGTGGCGAACGCCGGCATTGCATCAATGCACACCGCCGTGACAAGGTTCAACACCGTAGTCCTCCTGGACCGAACCAACATCGGACCATCACGCAAAATGCTCCGAAAAGGCCACTGCCGCAACGACCCGTACGACCCCGTGCTCAAACACGATTGCTACGCGCACTCCGTGCTCCTCGACCTCCACACCTTTCAAATCCGCCCCCTCACCATCCTCACCGACACCTGGTGCTCCTCCGGCCAGTTCCTCCCCGACGGCACTCTCCTCCAATCCGGCGGCGACCTCGACGGAGTCCGTAAATTCCGAAAATTCACACCATGTAAATTCACTGAATTATGCGATTGGGAAGAGCTTCAAAACATGGAATTATCGCAAGGACGATGGTACGCTACCAATCAGATTCTTCCTGATGGTTCGGTTATCATCGTTGGCGGCCGCGCTGCTAACAGTGTGGAGTTTTTTCCGCCGAGGCACGGCGGGGCCGTGCATTTCCCGTTCTTGGCCGAGGCGGAGGATAATCAAATGGATAATTTGTACCCCTATCTCCACCTTCTTCCTAATGGTAATCTGTTCATTTTCGCCAACAATAAAGCTGTATTGTATGATTTCAATAAGAATTTTCTCGTGAGAGACATTCCTTTGCTCGAGGGCGGCCCGCGGAACTATCCCTCGGCCGGCTCGTCTGTCATGCTGCCTTTGGAAGGTGATTTTTCAACCGCGGTTATTGTAATCTGCGGTGGTGCCGAGTACGGCGCCTATATCCAAAAAAGTGTCGACACTCCGGCCCACGGGAGCTGCGGCCGGATCGTGGCCACCCGACCCGACTCTGTTTGGGAAATGGAGGACATGCCGTTCGGTCGGATCATGGGTGACATGGTGATGCTTCCTACTGGAGAAGTTCTTATCATCAATGGAGCTCAAGCTGGTACCCAAGGGTTTGAAATGGGCTCCAACCCGTGCTTATACCCGGTTCTATATCGACCCGATCAACCGTTGGGGCTTCGCTTCATGACTTTAAACCCCGGGTCGGTTCCCAGAATGTACCACTCCACGGCCAATCTATTACCCGACGGTCGGGTCTTGATCGCCGGAAGCAACCCACATTACTTCTACAAGTTCGCCGCCGAGTTTCCGACGGAGCTGAGAATCGAAGCTTTTTCGCCCGAGTACTTGGCCGCGGACAAGGCCAATATAAGGCCGGTTCTGGTGGAGTCGCCGGAGACGATTCGGTACGGCGAGGGATTCGATGTGTTTGTGACGGTTTTGCTTCCGGTGGTGGGGGTTGTGGAGGTGAACTTAGCCAGTGCTCCGTTTGCAACGCATTCGTTTTCGCAGGGGCAGAGGTTGGTGAAGATGGGAGTCACCAGTGCGTTGCCGGAGAGTGATGGGAGGTATAGAATTGGGTGTACTGCGCCGCCGGATGGGAGGGTGGCGCCGCCCGGGTGGTATATGGTGTTTGCTGTTAACCAGGGTGTGCCTAGTGTGGCTCGTTGGGTTCAGTTGTTCTCCTAATTTTTCAAATTTTTATTTTTCTTTTTCTTTATTTATTTTTTTGTTTTCTCTCTGGAATTAGTTATGAAAGTGTTGATAAAACACATTTTTTAGCAGTTTGTTTCATGAAATTAACTGAAAAGTGGAAATTGTTTATTATATTTGATAGTAACATTTCAATAATTGGAGGAATTTAATAGTGATTTGAAATGAACTAAATAAGAATATTTTTTTGATTTTTTTATGAATAATTGCGCAATGTAATGTAGAGGTTATGTGATCCAAATCCCAAACAAAGGCTTGACTTGGTTTGATTTTGGTTTTGGTTTTGGTTAGCTTTTGACATTTCAATAATTATTTACAACTACAATATTTTTTTTTTTATTTTTTTTTTCGGTTGTTGAATAGGACAGCATATCATGTCTAGTTAAGTTACTAGATTATGAATTGGTAGGCTCCAAAATTGCAATAATTGAATTTATTTTGTTAATATTTTTTAATAATTAAGTGTTCAAGCTAAGCTTAAAAGGCACCTCGATTTATTAGAGATTTATTGGAGGAGTATGTGTGTTAAATATTGTAGGAGAGGGTTCAAGAAAGGAGTTGAAAAATTCGAAGATCGAATTCTCTAGAATATGATGAGAGGCTTAGATTCTTCAATAATCTCAACTTAGGAACACAACAACAAAGGAGATGATGGAGATAAGAGATTGGGTGAAGAAGAAGGCAAAATGGCTAGAGAATAGAATAATGGCAAGGCTCTCCTAGGGATCTCCCACTTTCACTCTCAAGGTTGATAATGGAGATGGGAAATTAGTTCTTTCTCAAGAGTCATCTCTCCAAAAATTCATCCCTTGTAAAGTTATGGGTGGGTGCTATTTATAGGCACCTCATGATGTAGGATGGAGCCCATGTGCAAGGCACATGGGGGATATTCTCTCTAACCACCTTGTTCGAGGAGGTGACCTCTCCGAGGAGGTGACTTCTCCGAGGATGAGAAAACCCCGAAGAGGAGATCACTCCCTCGGCGAACCCTTCTTCTTAGCCACACCTAACCAATGATCCCCAATCATCCCAAAGGGTCAGGGGTAGTCCCAGAGGACGTCCTGCCGCATAAGGGTCAGGGGTAGTTCAAGAGAACGCCCTGCCGCAAATATTGCCGAGTCTCAGGGACCCCCTAGATCGTGCCACCTCAACCCGGGTATAGGCTAGTTTAACCAAAGAGTGAATTTATCTCCACTCACCGTCCTCGGGATCGGGTCCTTTGTTCGGACTCCATTACGCCCATGGTTCTGGTACGTAGACCCCGGAAAGCTCTGAGCCCGCAAGTGTTCTGGGACTCATTAATGGAGCGACTTCTAGATTGCGTCTGAATCCGTTCGAAGCCAAGTGTTTCGGACCTCTAGGTTCGTGGATCCGAACCCTTTCGAGTCCGAGTGCCTCGGATCTCTAGACTTGCTTAATACCTTTTCGAGTCCGGGCCCACATAAGTCTCTAGGTTCGTGGATCCGAACCCTTTCGAGGCTTAGAGCCATTTAGCCCGTTTGATGGTGATAAATTCGGGCCCACCAATCTTGGACTATTGGGCTTAATTAATTTAATGGGCTCAAATTAGCCCCTCTTACAAATATTATTATAATTGAGTTTTTGTATTTTTTTTTCGTTTTCTTGATACTATTATATTAATAACATTAAAATGATCACATGATAAAAACATATATTACATCATTATTAGATTTGATTTTGGTAGAATTATAAATGAAATACTCGATTTTTTATGCATTTAATTTCAGTGTGTCAATAATCTTTATGGTTAATAAAAAGTTAGTATTCGTTTGTTTAATTCTCTTTCACTCTTTTTATTCTGAGCTTTGTTCAATCATAAGAGGACTAATGACTGTAGAGTTATTCGTTATTTCCTTTTCCTTTTTGGTTTCTTTTTGTAAATTTTCTTGAGAAATGGGAAGATGTTTTCAGCTTGTTTTCTAGTAAATTTGGACCCACACAATAACGGGTCTTGGGTTTAAATTTACTTGAATTAATGAAAAAATATAAAATAAACAGTTCCATATTGATTTTGATTGGCAAAGCTTTGTGTCTTTCCTGTTATTGGTGCCCAACGTCTATCTTCATAAGTCGAGGAGAGAGTGCTCAATATATTAGGATGAGGGGCCTCAATTTGAGGTTTATTATAGGTTTATTTTTATTATTCAAATCGTTTATTTTACAGGATTTGTTGAGTACGCCTACTATTAATCAGATATCAATAATTATATAATCAAATTACATTTATGACAAAAAAAAAAGAATAAGTTTTTCTTTTGAAAAATAGCATAAAAAAATAGGCAATCCGACCACACAGTTATTGATATCCGATGAATATAATTTTTGATAGGCATGAAGTACTTAACGAATCCTACAAAATAAACGGTTAGGATCATAAAAATAAATCTCAAATTGAGGCATAACAGTAAACCCATGTCCTTAATATTAGACTTAATTCCAACACAATTTATATAATTTTTCTTATACATAATACCGTGATATATTCATGTTCATATATTTGTAATCAAAGCATTCATCATTTTGATTCGTAATTGTAAAATTATCATTATCATATCTTTCTGGATAAATTTTTCGTATAAAAAATTGACATGATTATCATTTTACACACTGTTATTATTACACAAATTAAAAGAAATTACAATTCAATGTAAGTTTAACAAAAGAAGTTTAGATAAGTGGTAAATTTTTATAAAATCAAAAGGTTTTTCTTGAATCTGTAATTATTTTTTAAAGATACCATTAAATTGTAATTGCTCTTAATGAGTAAGATAAATAATTAGATCATCTTTTACATGCTTTGTTTACTCTCTAGGTTGTTATTATACTTTGTCAAACTTTTGTAGAATACCTTGAATTTGTATGAGACTCTTTGCTATTCAAACACCTTCAACAACTTGAGAGAGGACTACTTAGGTCTCGTTAGGCAACTACATGTTTTAGTCAAAAAGTAAAAAAATTACTATAAGTTGTCACATCACTCTCTTAACTTTTTTATACATCTTTTCATAAAAAATTAAAAAATTACTAAAATAATTTATTCTCAAACGAAACCTTAGTGATCATTTTTATAGTGTAAAGTGCAAAACGCCTTAAGCCCAATATTAGAAGGAAAAAAAATAGTTGAAAAAATAGTTGAAATTAAATAGTATGAATTTCATTTGAATACATAAAGTATGGGACAACATGATCATATGGTTGGACTTTATTGGGAGAATGGAATCAAAGTGAAAATGAGTGATAAAGTATAGTTATATATAAATGGAAGAAAGATGCTTTAGGAAGACTCAACAAAAAGAGCCATTGATAAGTTGGTTTGTACTGGAATCATATCCTTCATAGTGATTGGGTTTGAGTGGGTAGCAGGTAGAGGTTCTCTTCAATATAATAGGATGGGATGCCATTTCTTTAAGCTAAGATTGAAAGAAGAAGAAAAAGGAAAAAAAAAAACTTTCCTTGCCCTAATTATTAAATTCGAACATATTAAAACATGATTAATTACAACTAACTAAAAAGAGTTCGGAACCCTTGTGAATCAAGCTAGAAAACTATGTCGTGTTTACATTCAATAATTGGATATATATGCTCATACCTGCACATATACATATGTATAAAAGTACTTTTCATTGTTTTAACTTTAAATTTTCAGCTTGGTTGAATTGAGTGATTTGGGGATATTGAATTCTCTTGGTTCAATCACTTGTTTGGATTATTAAAGAGGAGATAAATTGGTAGAAATGAAGAGAAATTTCGATGTTTTTTATTTTATTTTTAGTTTTTTGAAAACTCACTTTCTAAATCTCTTTAGATGTGTAGGGATTGAGATAGAAATTTGGTGATTACTAACATTTTATAATACTAAAATTGTCTAAAGAATAAAAACATAAAAGATTATTTTGATTCCAAAACTTGTAATAGTTTCTTTTATTTTATTTTATGTATGAATCACTATTTTTCCTTTTTTTTCTCTCTCCAATTTAATCAAACAAGAAGGAGAAAAAAAATATAATCTTTTCTTCTTCTTTTTTTTTTAGGGGGGGGGACCAATTTTGCAAAGAATATGTAATGGCAGGTCTATGTCTTAAAGTGAATTAACCTAAAACAAAGTGATAACAAAAAGTGAATTTATTAGACAATCCCATTTCTAGGCCCAAAAAAGTAAGTACAAAAACTGGAAAACTAAGGCCTATCAGCTTTCTAGTTTCTAGTGAAGTTGAAAGGACTCTTGGGCCTATCAGCCCACAATTTGAATTTTTGTAGAGAACGAAAGTGTAATCTAATTCCTCTGAACTTGACCTAGTCCAACAGGCCTAAGGCCTAATATTTACTCCAGAAACACTCACCCAAAAAACAATATGATCCATCAATAGAGAGTCCATTAAAGCGTGGGCAATTTTTTTAAAAGCCCAAGAAAATAGGCTTATTGGGCCAACAGCCTATTTTTGTGAGAAAAAGTTCGGGCATGGGCTTTTGGTTTAAGTTTCATGTTGTTGAAATCATAAGTGTATCTGAAGGGCTTCTTGCGTCAGTATAGTCCCCCCCACAAATTATCAATAGGCCGACGCAAACAACCTCTTGTAACGGCCATCCAACGACAAAAGGGGAGCTTAATGGGACAATTTGACAATCTAACTATAAGTTAATTTTTAACTTATTTTAAATCACATCATTTTTTATATTTTTTATACATAAAATAATAAAAAAATTAAAAAAACCAAAGCACTAACTTTTAAATATTTTTGTCAGGAGAGTAGGTAGCATGGGGGGGGGGCTTGTAGCGAGGTTCTTAAAACAATTGCATAAAAGTAAAAAAAACATACATTATTTGCGACGTTATTTAAAAAAGCGTACATTATTTGGAGAAAATGTTAAAAAGCATATGGGATTTTAGACCAGATTGTAACTATTTTGCCATCACAGATAATATTTTTTTTCTAACCATATTTCTTGGTGGTAAAAATAAATAAATAAATACTACTAATAATTGTGACAGCAAAAGGCGGACACAAAAGTCATTTTTAATGCACACAAGGTTAAGGACAGTACTAAACCACACCAGCCGAATTAAGTTTAAGTTCCTTGTGTCAAAAAATTGTGCTTCATACTCCACCAAAGAGTGC